TTAATATAATTTTCTAAGAATATTATCAGAATCAGTATTCAGATCTGCAGGTCTATCTTTCTTAAGAAACACTTAACAGCTCAGAGTAATCAGTTCATCTCTCAGAATATTAGATCTAGAAATTAAACTTCATATATTATATCTCTTCAAATCAGTAATCTTGTATTATATAAACTTCTTTCAATAATCTTCTACTCTTTCTGATCAAGATATGACATTTTTATAGAACTTCAGAAGGTTACCTGTAACAGAGCTTGAAGTATAAGTAGTCAGTGATTTCACAGGCTGTAATTATGTGAAATTCAAATTATTAATATCAGAAGCATCTTCATTATTAATCAGATAAATATCAGGTTTCAGTTCACTGACATTATTAATGAGTTTCACAGATATAATAACTGGTTTTTCAGTGATCAGAAACCTTACATTACTACTAATAATAATCTTATCAGATTCAGAATATTATAGGCAATATATTAATATATCACTGAATTCAATAATATGATAGAAATTAGTATGTGAAGAGAGCTTATCTGCAGGTCTCTGAGATTTATACAAGTGAATAAAAACCTCTGTACTTAATCAGTGAAAATGCCTCACATTCAGCAGAGTATTCATAAGTGCATATTAAGAAATCTTATATGAACTTGAAATCATAGAAGTCTCTGTAGTAGAGAATCAAAATTTCAAGTTATAAAGAACTGTAAATATAAGAGTATTATTAATTATTATAATCACTGTCTCTAGAACATCTGCTCAGAACTTCTTAGAGATATTATCTTTCAAAAGAGCAGCTCTAACTCATTTTATAATAGTGTAGATCTTATATTCAGAAACACTATTCTGATGTAATAAATATAATACTGTTGATTCTTATTTAATACTATATAAATTCATGACTGTGTGTATATATGAGAATCAGAAAACATTATCAATATCAGTTCATAGAAAAGCAGAAACTGTATATCTGAGATTACTCATGAATCTAAGTTATAACTCAAAGTATTGAACAGCCTCATTCTTGAACTTTAAAAAATATATTCAATGATAGCAGATTGTATCACAGATGATAAGTATTTAGTATTTAATTCTTTAACAGAACTCTAAGAGATGATCAGAGAGATCTTTCAATATATATCTATTATCTATAAGATTAATATAAATCTTCTCAATGAGTTGAATAGATCTAGACATCAGTGTTTTTAAATAATCTTATATTATATCTATCTTGACACATTTCTTACAAAAGAACTTAGTCTTAGAATCTTTAATTATAACTTCAGTATAAGAATTCTTGATTATAGTAATTATAGTATCAGTATAAATATGACTGAGATCACAGTGTCAGTTCAAAAGAGTCTTTGATATTCTTATATTCTCAAGATCTGTATTCAGAACTGTAGAATCAATGTTATTAACAGTAGTAGCAGTAGTCATAGAAAGATCAACTTTTCAGTCAAAATTATACTTATGAAATATTATTGCAATATACTTAACTGCTCTGTTTAGATAATTGAGATTCTTATTAAACTCTTACTTATTAATCTTATATATGTTATTCTGAGCAGTCTGAACTGTATGAAAAATAACATCATTCAGAGCTCTGTAAATAAAAAATGAGAAAATAGTAAAAGATAATATAAATCAGAATCTCTGATCTTCAAGCTTTATAAATGAGAGTAGATTAACTGTAATATTAGAGATATAATAAATATTCTGTAAGTTAATATTATCATTCTCAATCTTCAAGATAACAGTCTTAATTTTCTTGATAAACTCAGTTTCTTCAGTAGCAGAATCAACAGAGATGTTATTATTAAAAGATTTAATATTTAAAAAAGAATAAAGCTCATTTATCATATTCAGACTTATACATGTGTTCAAATATCAAGATCTAGAGAATGATTTTTCAGTGACTGTGAAAGAGAAATAGAACTTAATCTTTGTAATTACTGTATTTACTGCTGATTGAGAACTTATCAAGTCATTCTTCTTCTCTTTCTTCTTATCATTCTTCTTTTTCTTTTTATCAGAGTGTAAGATGAAATATCTATTAAGAGTATATTCATATCTTCTACAGTGAATGCACTTTTATACAGATATACTTTTATTCTCATCTTTATTCTTATCTTTATTCTTATTCTTTTTCACAGTTACAGAATCAGTCTGAGACTGCTTTTTTCACTCAGTGATAATCTTCTTAGATGTATAATTAATTAGTTACTTCATTAAATCATTGATATCAATGTTAATAATAAGTCTCTAATCAGTGAAGAAAAACTTATTTAAATATATCTTAATAAACAGTCTTTAATAGTCTTACAGATTGTTAAGAAAAAGATTATAATATACATTCTCAGTACTCTGACAGAGCTTCTTATAATAAATAATAAAATAGTGAAAACATCTCTGAAAAGTAAGATAATCATTCTTCTTAACTTATAATTTTATTAATTTCTTGAAGATATTAACTCATTCTTCAGTCAGTGATATTATATATTTAATATTAATCTTATCTCACAGAGCTGCAGTATTATCAGTTTTCAAGATTTTAATAGTAATTCAAATATTTTTAATAAGACTTAATAGTATACATCTATATAGAGACTTGAAATGAATTCTTCACTTCTCAGAGTTAATATAATATATAAAAGAGAATTCTTATTAAGTTCTTAATAAAATATTAGTTTTATTAATAACTTTTATATTAATTAATATATTAATATATCAGACTTTATAATTAGAGTTATTAAATATAATCACTGAGTTAATATCTAGTATATATTTGACTTTCTTCTGATATTATTATAACTCATTTCTTATAGTATCTCTTTATATAGAAACAGATATAGTGAAATATTAAGTAATTTCAGTCACAGTTATTTAATTCTATAGTATTATTTATATAAGATTCATAAGATTATCTACAGTGTAATAGATAGATTAATTCAGATTATCATTAAAAGTCAGTATTTCAGAGATAAGAAATAATAAAGAATTTAATAAATTAAAATAAACAGATTCTATAGATAAATATTAACTCTGTTTTTCTTTATTCTAAAGTTTCTTTATTATCTTATCATTAAATTTCATACTCTGATAAAAACTAATCTCAGTCTTATTTTATAAGTTAGAAGTCTTCTTATAATAAGTGATTATTCTATCAATAAGTTATCTAGTAAAGTATATGATTCTGAATCTTGAGCTGAACTCTGAAGTAACAGATGTATCACTTATATTAAGATAACTCTGCTTCTCTCAGATATAAAAAAAAATAAAAAAGTGATATTCTTCACAATGAAGAATGTACTTTCTTAAAAATATAAAGTATATAAATCTACTGACTAGCAGATTCAGGGAAAATGAAATATCTCTAATAAAGAGTAAGAGTCTTTTCAAAAAAAGTGAACTATCTGTGTCAAAAATGTTGATGTAAATGTTCTAAAAAAACGTGCCATCCGGGCTATAACCTGTAGACTACTGAGGCAAAAGAGCTCAATCACCACCAGCGCACTGCTGGTAGAAGGGCCGACCAACCGCGGGACTCTCAACAGATTACAACACAACACAACAACGTTATTCTTCAAGATTGAGCTGTATTACGTAACAACATTGCTATTCTGTTGGTGATTACTACACCTACTCTAGTCACGTGCCACCTCAACCTATTCATTTAGTGTAACTCGCGTAGTTAGATTACAACATAATAATATTATTCTTCAAGAGGTTATGAAGCTCTCTATGCAATGAAAAGCTGAAATAACATATCAACTACATCTTCATGTATTGTTACATGTGTCTAGATGTTTTTTATGAGTGATTGAACTCATGATTAATCTAAGATCTGAAGAGATGCCTGACTTAATAAAAGAATACATGTCTTCAAGATAGAAAAATGAGAAGACATCAGAATAGCAGATGCAAGATCACAGATCATTATTAATATCAGTGACAAGTTAAAAAGCTGTCTCAGAGGCATTTGAACCAGTTGAAGAGACAATTAACAAGTCAAACAAGTTGAATAATAAGTATGAAGATTCAGTTGAAGACATAATATCAGATAACACAGGTGATTCAAGTGATTAAAGTGATAATACAAGTGAAGAAATATGTATGAAGTTGAATATTATAAGGCTCATGCTAGAAGTCAAGTGATTGAAGACAGAAAGAAGTGAATTCTCTGTATCAAATGAAGATATTAGTACAGATTTGATAAACTATTTTCAGTAAAAGAGAAGAATATTCACAATAGTGAAGATTCTTAGTGAGTTCAGAGATCAGGTCAGACTTATTAAGAAACCAGTCATTCTCACTAGCTCTGTAAATTACTCAATGTGAAAAGAAGAGATTCTTCTCATAGTGAGACAATCTGAAACTGATAATATTCTAAATGACAGACAGATTAGTTCTGATGAGAGTATCAGTATGAATATATAACATTTTTAATCAGAGTGAAATATCTGACTATATAACTATATATAATCTGCAATTATCTCACAGATCAAATCTCACTTTATTATACTCAAGAAGTCTCAACTATCTGCTTATTCTTTATAATCTGTTATAGAGAATAATTTCACTGAGAGATCTGCTATCTGCAGAACTTATCTGTTTCAAGAATTAATTGAGATGATATTAAAATCAAAGAGTTCTGATTGTGTATTTATCAAATGTTTAATTACAATCAGAACTGATTATATTTGTGATTCAAAGGTTGCTTAAGCCAGCGTACGATTACAGGCGTACGCCGGCTTCTTATATATTGTAATATCGTACGCTAATTTAATTAGCGGCCGCTATGGCCCCTTTACACTTGTACGCGTACGCTAGTAGTTCGGAAGCGGCCGCGGTATTATCCGACGGTCGTACGTTCTTCCGAACCACATCCTCCCCCACCAGATTCGGTCACGCCCACGTGACCATGTCGTACGCCCTCACAAAGAAACTTCCACTATATTACACCACTCATCCACTAACTTTTCCCATCCTCCAACCATCTTCTCCATTCCATCATCATCGAACGCCACCATCTCATCCAAGATTCCTACCCCTCCTCCTGTCCAACTCCTTCCATCTGTCCCCCTATCACATCGTACGCGTTCCTGGCAATGGCCCCCCGTTCCCACAACAAGCGTCATCGTAGTACCCATACCGGGCAGTTCGTTAGCAGTAAGTGTAACGCGTTGTAGAACGTGATCAGGACTTGTTTATCTTCTAACAATCGCCAGAACAACGTATTACCATGGATGATGACACACCTTCTCCACCTCCTCATACGCCCCCGACTGTTTCCTTCTCAGCGGGTTTCTGATCGTGTTTTCTGGCACGATTTTGCGTGGACGCAGATGCTGATATGTTTGTTTTTATTCGCGTAGAATCTTCACGCGTTGACAGATCCGCGTCCGCCGATGATAGTGAACCCGATGTTGCATCCTTGGTCGAGAACTTGGAGGACGCGATAATGGAGGAATTGCCCGTGTCATGTGTGGCTGGGTCTCCCATGTCCCCCCTTGCCCCTTCTGCCACTCCTTCCTCTGCTGCTCCCCCCTCTGTCCCTTCCTCTGCCGCTCCCCAATCTCCTACACTTGCCCCTGTGTCTGGTTCTCCCGCTCCCGCTACCCCTGTTCCCGCGACCCCTACTCCCACTACTCCTGGTTTTGCTGCCTCTGCCTTCATTACTAGCTCTCCCCGTTTCAAGGAGATGTTGCGTAGGCTCAGTAAACCACATCTCCCAGCGCGTACACTCCCGCCCTTCTTGCTGACTCCCAGAATGATTTATTGTATGAAGACTGCATATGACATGACTATCTGGAGCTTGGTCGCGGACGCTGATTATTACATTCATTTTAAATATTTGTGGTGGGGCAATCATCCATTCATATCAGAGAATCACCCCTCTTCTCAACAGTGTCAAGATTGTAAGTCTTTTCCTTTTCATCTTTTTGATCTGATGCTGATTTTCCTGTTCTTAGGGGAAATTGTTATGGGTTTTGCTGTGCACAAAGTCATGATGTTCACAGACATCAAGAAACTTTTTACAACTGTAAAGTTTAATATTGCAGAGACATTCACTCTGGCAAATTCCTTCAGAATGATAGATCTGTATCAGTCTATTCTCTGATGTCTGTCATTCGACTTTGTGATGCAGGTAAAAGATATCCATGTTTTTCAGAAATGAGAATGCAGATGTTGTACTCTTTTACACCTGCAGGTGTGAGGCTTGTACACCTTGTCTGAGATGTCATTGTGAAAATGAGCTGTTTGTATGCTGCATTCTGCTTCCTGTATTTTCCTGTGTCTCTCTCTCTCTTTCTGAGAAGTCTCATGTGTGTTGTAATTGCATGTACAATTCTAAGATCAGCAGGTGTTTGTTCAGTAACTATTCTCATCTCTGATTTTGCAATTTTTGTATACTAATAATGATTCTTAGTTACTCTGACATCAGAGGCTATTCTGATTGAAGATGATAATATCACTGAGACTATTCTCTCTCACTCTCAAGCTTCTTCTATTGCTTTCTCTTTCTTCTCTGCAGGGAAGATTATGCACACACTGAGTTGTAAGTATTCAGTCTCAGATGACTCTCATTATTTATTCAGTTCTGTGTCTTCTTTTTCTTCTATTTCTTTTACCTCTGTTCTCTCTGCTCTGACTTCTGATTCTGTGAGTTCTATACTCTTCTTCAATTTCTCTACATATATGTGTGTGCATTTCTATATTAGCATTTCAGTCAATCTTGTGATCAATAACATTAATGTTGTATACAGAGTGATAGAGAAATCAGAGACATGTATAGCATTATTGTAAGAACAGCTTATGACTCTTGAATCTCTTGCAGATCTCAAGTTTTGAGATTTTCTTTGTTTTTGATGTTTTTCAGATGATGTGATGTTGAAAATAGATTAAATGTATAATGTATAAAAATGAATGAGATGTGTATAATAACATTTGTCTTTTGCAGCTGACTCTTACAGTTGGTGATTAATTCATCATTTCTTTTCTTACACTTTTCCTCTATCTGCTAGTCACTACTCTTACATAATCTCTATATAATACAGTATTCAGTGACTAGGTTCAGCAGCTTTCATCTTTTGTAATTCTGTCTCATATATTATACTGTCTCTCTTCACCTGCTCAGATCACTACAGTAAACAGCTCATTGAAACTAATCTTGTCTGATCTCTGAGTATTCTCAGAAGTTGAGATGACTTGATCTCACATGTCTGTGAATATTTCAGATAGTTCATTCTCTATGATCTCTGTAATTGAACTGATGTAAACAGTTGAATTCAACTCTGAATTTCTTTTTCTTCTGTGATCTGACTCATGTGCAAGTCTGCTGCTTTGAGACTGCTCTTTACTGTGTTATATCTGCTGTCTGCAGTGCATTATTATATGATCAGCTACAGTCTCATCACTTATTGAAGTGTGATGTTCATCTGATTTCTTCATTTCTTCTCATTCTTTTCTTATAATTGTGAAAAGATCAGAATAAGTGAGATTATCTGATTTGTAAGTGTCTATGATTTCTCTTACTTTGTAAGACTTTTCAATTGTAAGTCTCTTCTTTTTCAATGCTGATGATAGTGCTGTGAATAATCATAATCTGCTCAGATCTTGCATCTTTGCTTTCACAAGTCATGAATCATTGATTAAGTTGTGTAAGACTCATCTCTCTAATTCTTTCAATGCATACATTCTCAGAGAATGTGATTTAAGTATCTTATATAACTTAAATCACCTAGATTGAAACTTCTCAGAACTCTCATTGCATATGAGAACTCATGTTCTTATCTTGAGACTTGATTTCTTAACAAGTGAGTCTTATATTCTTTTTGATTGAATTGCTCAGTTCAGGAGTAACTTGTTAGCTTTTGCATGTGCATGGCTGATCTCTTTCAATCTTGATTCTGCATCTGCAGCTGTTGTGTTCACAACTGCTGTTCTCTCTCTCATCTTTTCTGAAGCATTCTCCGGGATGTGTGGATGCAATTCATACAACAGGTAGAATGATGAACACTTGAAGACTGCATACTGCTGAATTCGTGTGACTAATAGCGCCTGTCTGAGATATTCATCTCATAGTCTTGTAGACTTGCTCACTAGATATTTCATCAGCATGTTGCTCAAGATTTCATTCAAGTGTTTCATCTTCTCATTCATCTGTGAATGATATAGCATTGTTCTATGATATCTTGTCTGTAACTAGCTCATGAAATGCCTCACTGCTTCTCTCATGAGATTCACACTGTTATCAGTTAGAATCTCACATGGTATTTCATAGTTGATATAGATCTCATCATATAGAAACTTCATCACCACCTTCTCTATCACCTCTGAAACTGCTTTCATGACTGGCCAGTCAGTAGTGTAATCAATAGCAGTGATTATTCATCAGTTTTCATTTGGTGTTCGCAGCAATATGCCTATGAGATTCATCTCTCATTGTTTGAATGATTGTATTATACACTTCATCTGATGTTGCACTTTCTTGTGTTCTAACCCTTTCTTAGATTCTTTCACAACCTGATAATTCAGGCACTCATGAGCATACATCTGAATGTCCTTGGCCATGCTTGGTCAGTATGCTCTTGATTCAAGTACATTCATGAGTTCAGGGCTTTCTAAGTGACTGAATTCCTTGTGCATGTGAGCCATCAAGTCATGTCTAAATAAAGGTTCTAGATAGGGAGCTTCTGCATATTCTAGATCATGGTAAAGCACAACATTGTTTTCATTTCTCAATTTCCTCAGCTTGAAGTTCAGAAGCATCTCTTCTACTACTTTCACAAGATGCTTGTCATCTGACATCTTGCCATTCTTCAAGTGAGAGATTATAATATTCACTCATTCTGATTCCTTGCATTCTCTCAGTGTGTTTAACATGAACATCCCTTGTGCCTGGTTTGCAGAACTCTCACTTATGAAATCAGGTCTGCAACTGATTGCATTCAGCATCACTGTATTCAATTCTTTTCAGTATTTGATATGAAGATCATACACTTGAAACTCCAAGATTCAACATGCTAAGTGTTTGAAAGGTTTTGTCATTGATTATAGATAGATGAGGCTTTCATGATCTGTGATCATTATTGTCATATACCTGTTGTTGATATATCTATCTCATAACACCAGCACATGCTTGATCACTAGCAATTCCTTTTCATACACTGAATAATTAAGCTCAGCACTCAATAGTTTTCTATCATTGTACATCACTGAGTGCAGCTTGTCATCCTTGCTCATCTGTAGAAGAGTGCCTTCAATAGCCCATTCAGATACATCTGTCTCAATGTAGAAAGGTTTATTATGATCTGATTAAATAAGCACTGAGAATGTTGTTACATATTCTCTCAGTGTGAGAAAAGCCTCTTCACACACAGCATTTCAGATGATTGAATGAAACTTCTTCTTTTGCAGATTTGCATCTGTTTCTCTTAAGAGATCTGAGAGTGATGCAGATATTCATGCAAAATCCTTGATAAATCTGCAGTAATATGAGACCAACTTAAGAAACTGTCATACATGATGTACATTCCTCAGTCACGGCCAATTTGCTATGACATTCAATTTCTTCAGAATGAGGTGTATACAGCTATCACTCACTACATGTCTCATGAACTTCAACTCTTCTGTTTCAAACACACACTTGATTGATTTGATGTAGAGCTTATGCTCTATCAGAGTTGTAAGCACTTCATTGAGATGCTTCAGATATTCATTGTATGAGTTTGAAAAGACTAGAATGTTATCAAGATATATGAGACATGAGGTTTCATTCTGTTTATAAAGAATCATATTCATCATCATTTGAAAGGTGACAGGTACATTTGTCAGACTGAATAACATTGCTAGGAATTCGAACTTCTCTCATTGTGTATTAAATGTGATTCACAGGACTGACAGTTTGTCTACATGAATCTGCCAGTATTCTGAGAGAAGATCAATCTTTGATAGATATCAGGTGTTTCTGACTGTATTCAACTGTTGTTGAATTCATGACAGTGAATATTCATTCTTGATCATAAGCTTGTTGAGTGCTCAATAATTGATACACATCTGTCACTCTTCACCTGCCTTTTTCACAAATAGAACTGGAAAGCCTCACACACTTGATGAAGATTGTATGAGACCACATTCTAGAAGGTCAGTGATCTGACACTTCTGTTCTTCAAGATGTGTTTGTGACAGAGGGTATGTGTTCTGATTGACTGGTTTTGCATCTCTTGTGTCAATCTCATATATGAATCCTTGTTCTGGCAGCAATTTCAGTGAAAGATCTGTTCAGAAGATCTTTCTATACTTCTTCAGAAGCTTCTTCATATGCTTGTTCTTCTACATATTCTTTATCTTGGTTTTCTTCACTTCTGAGTTCCATATAACATACAGAATACTTTCAGATGAGGTCTTGTAAATCATTCTCTTTGCTTATTAATGTGTAAGCAGATTTAATCCTTCTATATCAGAGATGTGAAATATCCTTCTCATATCAGTTGATAGGATTGTATGAATCATTTTCTTTCTATCAGTCAACTGCATATAACATGTACATCATTGAATCTGTGAATTGAACCTTTGAAATCAATTAAGTCTGAGAATAAGGTTGTATTTCATATTCTGCAGCTCTTGCACTTAAATATAGCAAGATCATTCTCTGAAGTGCAAGGGAACTCTTACTTTTGCAGGTGATATTAAATATCAGTTATCAGATAATCTTATATGTCAGAGATTCTTCACTCAGCAGACTTCTTTCAATCTTTGAATTATATAATCATCAATATATTGCATTGAAGCTTCTGTGTCTGTTAACACTTTTGCAGCTATCTCTCAATTCTTACTCAAGTGCCTCTTATACATTAACATTTCAGGCCTCAAGGCATTGAGATGAGTGTTCACTTCATTCTCATTCACACCTCAGTCAGAAGTCTGCTTCTTCTTTACATTCACAGAATTCAGAGAATCATCTAACACAGACATCTCTTTCACTTTGAAGGCTTTTCATAGAATATCAGTGAGTGTCTCTGAGCTCACTGATTCTGCTAGTTTTTTAACTGCATATGCTGAGTGCAATCTTTTACATCATGATTTTAGCATTCACAGTTGAAACAAGCTCAATGCTTATAACATCAAGGTTTTCACTCAGAGAATCTCTTTTTTGAGAAATTCAGTGCTTTAGTGATGGCATTCAGATCTAGATTCATTGTGTTCAGGTGTATGACTTGTGTCATAGAAGTCTGATTACTTATTCTCTGCTGAGACATACTTGATTGCAGTATTTTCTGTCACAATTGACTCACTTGTTCTTATATGATGAGGATGTTGTATGCTTTCTTCACTGTGCCTGACTGTGAGGTTAAGCATTTCCATTCTGCTCTTAACTCAGGTATAAGATCATGAATGAAGATCTGTAAACAGAAAGGTGTTGAAAGCTCTTCATTCAATGCAAGATAGTGTAAGCTGAAGTGTGTGAAGTATGATGTAAGATTGCTCACTTATCTACACTCAGTGAAGCATTCATAATGCTTATCTCATGCATTCACTTCCTCAAAGTTGTGCAAGATTCACTTAGAAAACTTATTCCATGTTCATGAGAATGAATATTGCTTCAGGTCTGCAAGGTTCATCTTTTCATCAGTCATTTATAATGACTTCACTTTTCTGTGTAGAAACATGGCAGATCTTAAGACTTGTTAAAATTCTGTTAACTGTCTGTCTGTGAGTTCATATTTGATTTAATAATATGATCACATCTGACTTAGCCAGCTGATTACAGCATCATTTTTTTGATTGTTATTGAAGCTTGATGACTTCAGCAGATCTCCTGACTTGATATATTTCATGCTCAGATTCTCATCCTGTGTAGCAGTCTCTGATGATGTGTATGCTTCTGAAGAGGTTATGAATGATTGTGATGAGATCTTCAGATTCAATGTAGTCACCTGTCTGTGTAAACATTCAATCTTCTACTGTAGGTCTAAGATCTGGTTTTCTCTATTCTTATTAATAGTGGTGATTGCATCAGTGAAGCTCTTCATAGTGAATGCTTAGTCTGCAGCAAATGTCAATTGTTATTTGACCTCTGCCTCAGCCTGTCACTGTGTATACAAGACCTCAATCTCATTTAGAATTCTTGTATGTGTACAGAGCTTCAATTCTGGTTTGATAATCTTAGCTGCTTTTCTTACTGTTTTGAGTAAACCCTCTGAGAGGTTCTGCATATCTTTCAGTTCAGATAGCAGAGAAGAGTGTTGTTTGTATCAGCTAGAGAAGATATTTATTTCAGTGATTTCTTGTTAATTGTACAATGTCTATTGTTATTACTGTATTATTATATTGCTATATCACTGTATTGTTATATCACTATATTATTATATTGCTATATCACTCTGTTATCATTGTATGACTCTGGTGATGGTCACTTCTTCTTTTATCCTTCTTTTGAGTAGGGAGTGAACTTCTTTGAATCTGGTTCACTGCTCTCATTTCTTTTCTCACACTTCATCTGTTCGCATATGTGGCATTCATCTGAGCATGGAGTTTTCCCTCAACAAGTGAAGCAGCAGCATCAATTGAATACTCTTCTGCTCACCGCTCTTTGTACACTATCTTTTGAGACATTCTAGAATCACTCTGGCATGATAACTATGAATCACTTTGTAGATGGAATTATCACACTCTGGAGAAGCCTGCACTTCTCACCGGTTTTTAGACATGCTACCAGATGTGATTCAAAGGTTGCTTAAGCCAGTGTACAATTACAGGCATACGCCGGCTTCTTATATATTGTAATATTGTACACTAATTTAATTAGCAGCCGCTATGGCCCCTTTACACTTGTACGCGTACGCTAGTAGTTCGGAAGCGGCCGCGGTATTATCCGACGGTCGTACGTTCTTCCGAACCACATATTCAATTGAGATATAATATTAAAGATTTCATGTTTTTCAACAGACTTCTTACAGAGGTTAGTAAAGATTGATCATCTTTTATAAAGAATTGAATGAATGCAATAGAGAAGAATGAGAATGCTAGAACACTTGAAGATGATTTCATGAAATTGTGTTGAGATATTCTTCTACAATTGTCAACTACTGGTGAACCTCTCATCTCTGATGAAAAGACCTCTGTAAATAATGCTCAAGATAAGAAGAAGAAGAAGGTCTCTGAGAATAAGGACAAAGATTTCACCAAGTCAAATAGAAAGAATAATAATGCTATCAAAACATATTATCATTGTCAGAAGATAAGCCATATTCAAACAGATTGCTGGTTGAAATTTCCTGAAAAACACTCTACTAGCTGTGGTAAGAACAAGGATAAAGATAAGAATACAGAGAATACAGATGCTGCTTCTGTTCACAATATTATGAAGTAAGTATTTTACATCAAGAAAAAGACCTATGTAAGTGATTAGATAGAAAAAGATATCTGAATTCTAGACTCTGAATCAGATACTCATATCACATCTCACAGAGATCTTGTCATGACAAAACCTCAGAAGATAAAAGTGATGTTGAAAATGACAGACAGAACAGTGATCTCTGCTACAGCTATAGAAGATACAAAGATTTCAGTGAAAGAGACAGATATGCTGTTAAATGATGTCTGCTATATCCTGAAGTTAGAAGTGAATTTTATGAGTATAAGTAAGCTTGTATGTCAGAGTTATATCTATAAGCAGTTGACATATGAGAATAATTATACTATGTTGATTATATCTCCTGACTGTATGTTCTCATTTACAGCAAGATTAAATGAGAATGATATCTATGAGATGAAAAGGCTGATTACATACAGAGACTTGATTCAAACTTATGATGATGCAATGGCATCAAAAGCTAGAACACCTAAATCTCATGAATATTGTAAAAATGACATGTCCAACCTTCACATCTATGACATGAGCTGTCAAGCCGGTAATGAGATTCTTCATCAATCTGGCAGGGGGTGGAAAAACACTTTTCGACGGGAATGACACCCCCACTAGAGGGGGTGCAAGTTATTGATTGAGTATAACAGACAATGCAACCTGTTTATATGACACTGAGTTGATGAATTGCAATTTGATTGAAAAAGAGGAAATCATGATGAAATATGTTAGTTCTACAGTGAACATAGCTGATGAGCTCACCAAGTCACTGGCGAAGCCTGCGTTTGAAGATTTTGTCAAAAGAATTGGTTTGAAAGAGATCAGAAAGGAATGATTGAATGATAATAATAATACAGTGAATCAGTGGATTTTGCATGTATTTCTTGATTTTTACAGTTATTACTGTACAGATGCCTTTCCTAATAAGGAAATCAGGGTCCGATTGATGTAATTAATTATTATTGCATTTTCAAAAGATTTGAGGATGGGGGAGGCCCCAGGTGGCGGCTTATAGGCCACGGTGTAGCAAGGGGAGGTGTTGGTGATTACTACACCTACCCTAGTCACGTGCCACCCCAACCTATTCATTTAGTGTAACTCGCGTAGTTAGATTACAACACAACAACGTTATCCTCCAAGATATCCGGAGATCTCGTGACCGTCGGATAAATAATAATCCACAAATTATTCTGACTGCCTGCCAGCAATATGTCATGCCTCCCTTCGAATGACAACAATACAGCAGCATCTACAGCAAACTCAGACTCCTCGCTTTCATGTCAGAATGGGTGAATTCATTGCTTAGAGAGGATAGGCTCCTACAATGGACGATTATCAGAGACTCGTCGTGGCTCAATTCTTCGAGCCACTACCAAACCTCTCCCAGATATCGTGCCACCAGTTTGTCTTGCATCATATTGCCCCGATCCTTCTTCCCAACACTACCGGCAAGGTAGACGTTCAACCTAGCCCTTTCCAGGGAAGCATGAGCTACACCGCTATACTACATACTCATTCCACGCATGCTGATCATCGCATTGCCGTCCAGTTCCGAAGCGACAAGCAAGACCTCTTCGGAGTCACCGAAGCTAGCCGCATTCATGGATCTCTTGTGCCCTTGGTAACATACCAGGGCATGTACGAAGGCCTCTTTGTGTATACATCACCTTTTGCAGAAGGGACACCGTACATCAGTGTCTTGATGTCTTCTCAGGACTTTAAACTGCCGCTCCAAAAGAAGATGGTAACTGTCATGGACCTTGCAGACCTCGTCACTCGGGGAGCCAGAGCGAACACTACTATATCCGACACTACTATATCCGACCTCACCTCTACTCTTGAAGAAATTCACCATACGGTCAATAACTACACTTTCCGACACAAACCCCTCAGAAACAGAATTTCTGCTTGTATCAGCAAGCTCTTACCACAGCTACGCGATCTTGCTGCCCTCCCTGTCACCCTTACCCACCAGGATCTCGCCCCATTCAATTACCTTATCGACGATTCTACCGGTCGGGTTCAAGCTGTACTGGACTGGGATGGTGCTCTATATCTCCCAGTTGGGTCGAATTTCTATTTCATGGATAGCCTTTTCGGGTTCATGACCCCAAGTGGTTGGCAGGACACGGAGGATCGTCAGGAACTCGAGGCAGCGTTTTACAATCGGGCTCTGGCTAGTCTTGCTACACAGGGGCTTGGGGGAGTAACAAGAGAGCAACTGGAGTCGCAGAAAGCGATCGGGATGTTGCTGTATGGTGTGGAACGGCTTCTCAAGTTCAAAGACGAACGAGCGGAGCACTATCTAGATGGATATCTTCGGGGGTTATCTTTCATGAACGGGCTCATGTTCTCGTATTAGCTCAGTATCTGGACGGGACCTTGATGCGTGGGAGTCTAAGAATATGTATATTCGAAAGGATATTGAGAGCCATGCCGGCATCCGAGGAAATAGAAAACTAGCAATGTATGATTGCGCCTGTGCTCAATTTCTAGTTCTAACAGAGATAGCGAAACGAACACTCGAGGGGGCGCCCTGGCAAAAGATGGATCTTGATGCAGGAAGGGGGGAGATTCTTAAAACTAAGACTCTTCTCCGGCAGCATCTAACCGGGGCATAACCTTGACTTCATGCTCAGTGTAGGGCTTCGAATCCCGAAACACCTTGTGATTGCCAGAGTTCATAGGGGCACAGACGTTATTCCCCTTGCACTCAACAATCCCGTGTTCATTGACATGGAAGCTCCATCCAGTGATGACAGGTTCACTCGCCTTAATCTCTTCTTCGGGGGTAAGGCGAAGAGGGACACTGATGGTGCCGCGTCCACTAGGATGTGTGAACTCAACGAAGTCTTCTCTGTCTGCAGAGTTCGGGATGATCGAGAACCGTTTCTCGAGGCTGTGAGCTTTGAGAAACTCGGCAAGGTCCGAAGCGAAAGCTGTGTCGATCTGAGTTGCCTCACCGCTGGCATCGTACTCGAATGCCTGGAACATTCCATTTCAGTTGAGGAACCACGAGTTCGGCGCAATCTTGTCCATGTCGACGCTCGAAATAGTCTTTGGGATGCAGATATCAGACTCGGGGGACCGGACCTTGTGAAACATCACAGTTCCGTCTTGGAGTGTGTCGTGGCGATGGAGAAGCCCGACTCCTAGCTTCATATGCATGCTGTGCCTGACAAAGATATCCGCGATAGCTGTCAAGGTCGCCTTGTCCACCTCCTTTTCCTGTTCTTCGAAGGTCTTGATTGTATTGAAAGAGAGGGCATCCAAGACAGCACTCTTTACTGCGACAGCCATGATATTGGCAGGTCTCACTGTTTTATCATTGATGTTAGCGATTACTGCTTGCAGGACGGTAGGTGACTCAAGCACCTGTGCGTTACTCTTTACGTCGATGAAGATAGGGCAGAAGTGATGCTTGACATTGAGCGGAATATGCAATACCTTCTCGTGACGTGGAGATATGAAGCCCACAACAAGCGGAGTGATCAGTATGCTTCGATGAAAATTTTGCGCTGGGCAACTAGCCTGGGCCAGGAGAGAATGGAAGAAAGCGGAAGGGAAGGAAGGTCTGTATTTATCTGAGAAACGGTCAACATTGGTAGAGTCGGGGCAGGCCAAATATCGCGTCAGCGGGGAACCCTGTCATCAGGCATGATAAGTCCAAAATTGCAGCGGCTAATAGTCCCATCTCTCCGGAGTGATGGAGAGCAAAGATCCACTCCAGCTGAAAAAGATTTGAGCCGCAACCACCTATTCTTGGCCTGAGAGCTTCTTGGGTCCTGCTGACGTGGCATGCAGCACGGGGTTTCGCAATGACAAATATGCTGCACGAACGGTGAACTGTGGAAGGAAATAGATGGTAATTTGAACAGCCATGCAATTCGTTAGCTCGAGGCTGTGCCCTTGTTTCCCCGCCAATGACCATGCCAGTTGGTTGAGATCCGCTTCGATCCGCCAATGAGGGGAGAGTTCTCCCAGAGCCCAAACATTCCCGCGATCTGTGGCTGACTTCCGGGCCGGTCCGTCAACGAAGTGGGCTACTTCAGATCGTTGCTGCTGCCTTGCGAACGGGAAGGCCGGAACTGACCTATGTGAACCAAACGATTGGCTATGGGTGGGATTTCCCTCCGCTCTCGTCATTCAATGACGACTCAACACTCCGAACGCCAAGTTAGATGAATGCCCGTCGTGCTTGGGTTTGACTACTGCTCGCGGATTTTGAAGCTTACATTGAGTGAAGATTCGCGGTCGACGACAGGATGATTGGTCATCAAGTCTTGGCGGTAAACCTTGGCACAATGTACGCCCGACGATCTCAACGTCGAGGCAGCGGCCTTACCTGCATCTCCAAAGTGGGGGGCATCAGCCTTAAATTCGATCGCAATGCTCATTGCATTGTTTGGAGAATAAAATCAGTGCCTCTACAAATGGAGCCCAAATGATGGGGCCGAAGAGATCAAAAAACCATTCAAATTTCTAACGGAGACTGATTACACAAGCAGGGGGTAGAACAATTCGCAGTAAGTGCGTACGCTAAATGCAAAGCATCGGCTCATGTGCATTTGCCTTCAGTTTGGAAGCTTGGGAGACTTGTCGCTAGTTGTGTGGCTGGCCGCATCGCCAGCAGTGCCAAGGGACTCAGTGGCACGGATCCTCGGCTTCTTTCCGCGAGGCCCTTCTTCTCCATATTCAATTGGAGCCGCGAAGCTCCATTGGACATCTTGATGCTCATCAGGCTCCGTTGAGCCATCGGAATCATCCAAAATGGGTGTCAAATCAGAAGCCGCCTGGTTCTGGGAGGTAGAAGAATGTTGAGAGCAAGCCTCAGAGAGTCTTTTGTTTGCCATCCCAATAAATTCATCCCTCTTTTCCTTTGCCCAATCTCGGGCGTTTCGATATGCACAAGCTCCTTGCCGAAACGTCTCAGAGGTATCAGTCAGGGAATATGATCGAAGCTGGGTCATAAAATATTCGGGATGACTATCTGGAATTTTAGGCTTTCCAATGTGGGTGGTGTATAGCTTTAGTGTACCGCCATGGTAAATCGAGGTAAGAGTGTAAGCATTGCGATCGTAGGTCGGTCCATCTTGCTGGTAGAATTGTAGAGAATGCATACCCCGAGCTCCCAATGCACCATCATAGCATGCCTGCCGTGTAGCTACAGAGAGAGATCCATCGGGGCCCTTTGCCTCCAAAAAGAAGTTCGGCACCATTGGGAGATCATCCTGTGTTGATGGGACAATATGGCGACTAAGATCTTCGCGGATTTGATGATTGAGCTGTTCAGGTCGCGCGCCATAGAAGTGGTCAGGTTTGCCTGAAGCTAGTGTACCATTAGTTAAGGGCGAAAGGTTTCCAAATGGGTAATCCCCTCCAACACATTTATGATCGCCGATATCGCCATCAATAATCGGAATCACTGAACTTATAACCGGCTTCTCCTTAGATGCATGTGCATCTGCACGGGCAAAGTTTTCAAATGCCTCCTCAGAGAATCTTGATGGTGAAAGAGAAGCTCGGGGTTGAGCCAATCTTTCATTGATTTCTTGCAGGTTTCTCGGTTTTTCTGGTCTTTGGCCATCTGGATACTCATAACCGTGCGGGTAAACTCCGTGGTCAATTAAATGCTGTTGAAAATTCCTACTAAAAGCTGAGGTGCTCGAAGTTCTTGTGGTTGCCTTTGTGCCTCTCGAGGTTGATGACAGAGGAGATTCTGCTCGACGTTTCCTACGGTGGGAACTGGGTGTCCTTGAGCTCATCGGGATAGGGTACTAGAACCAGGTTAGTACCTCCAGGATGGGTTTGAGTTCAAAGTAACATACATTTCTCAAATCAGACAGATCAGGCCCTCCCAATCTCGAGAATCTCTTTATCTCCTTTGGGTGACTAGATGAACAATCACAGAGAAAGCCAGGAAGTAGGACAGGCTCTTCGGGACAACAACGGTAAAGTTTTTGACCAATGTGAAACTGCCGAGTGATGGGCCTATGAAGCGGTCGCTGCAGATCTGAAGAGCTGTTTTGTCGGTCGAATTCTTTTATCGCACTCCTGGTTAAATGAACATTTGACAAATTATCCCAATAAGCTTGGGGGTGGCAGGATTTCCGTCTCTTCGGCTGATGGTCCAATGTTTCGGAAGGATGTTCGAGATGCTGCCGCTTGCAGGGATGATGGAGTGTTTCCAAAGAAGGCATATGGTGCTCAGAGAGAGTTGACGCTTCGAGGAAGTAAAAAGGAAGAGCAAGAAAGGCTTTTAAATAATTCAACAGAGGTCCAACAACGTTGCCGTCAAGGTACGAAATGTGCCACACTGAAACACGATTGCAAGGGCTCTGTGGAAGGCCAAGGCCCTAACCCAAAAGAGGATTAGTCGTTTAATGGGGATGATCGACAGAAATTCAGAGTCTAGGCTGAAATTGGTTAGCTTATTGTGATGGGTTTTTGTCCCCTCCCATTTGCCAGCGAAAGCCCTTTGTCAGGAAAAAGAGGTTATACACTACTGAACGCCACCAACATCGTATTACTACAATATTTCTCATCATCATCAGCTTACTGTAGAATAGTTGAAGGTTGTGTATTGATAGATCTATCTACAAGAACATAATATAGTGGTGGGTTATGTAATCTAGTGAGATTGCTAACTGCAATGACTGTAAGAGTCAACACTCTCTCTTAAGATAATAAGAATCACATACAAAAACACTCAAATCATCAAGATAGTCTGTCAAAATCAAATACAAATGTTAAATTAAACATTTCCAACTTTTATATCTGTAAGATCTAGTAAAATCATGAATTGTGTAAATATTACAGTGTTTAGAGATTTAGTGAGTTTATTCACTACTATCTGAGTAATGAGAATATATTTTAAATCAATGATTTTCTAATTTAACTGTTAATATAAAAAATAAAAATATGTATTAATGTGCTTACTTCAGACTGTAATAACTGTTATCTTTGTGAGATCTATAATACTCTTATTATCAGTGAGAATCTGTATCAGAGATATAGTAATGAAATCAAGCTTAATTATAAGATTCTGAATTCATATTATCTCACAGACTGTCTCACTAAGAGTCATATATTCAGTCTTATTGAAACTTAGAGATATATAAGATTGCTTGACTGAATATCATGAAATTAAGCTATCTATGAGCTTAAAAATATAGCTGAATTTTGATTTTCTATTATTATTCAAGAAATCAGCTCAATCAGAATCTGTGTAGCTGAAGAGTAGATAGAAATCATCAGAGAAATCAGAGATAATGAAAAGATTAGTAGAAATAAAAAGATTAATAGAAATGAATCTCTCATACAGATTATATTCATAGAAAATACTCAGATTCATGATCTCTTTTAAATAATATATAATATGTAATAGAGTCTTTTAATATTGAGATATTAAATCAATGTTCTGTTGAGTAAGTAGTGAGACAGTGTGTGATATCAGAATGTGTTTTAACTACAAGATATTACAAATAACTCACATTATATTAATATCACTAAATTATGAAATCAGTCTCTTTCTCAGATATAGAGAAATTATTAATACAGAATTTATTCTTCATTGATATTCTGATAACAGCTGTATTATCAAGATAGAAATCTTTAATAAGATATTTAATATATTGATAATATATCAAATCAATTCTCTTATCTGAATAATTGATCTTTATACTTAAATACTTGATAGACTGATGTAGATTCTTGACTTTTAATTTCTCACTGAGTATACTCACTAGTCAATCAGCACTCTTAGAAGCTTTGAATATGATGTTGAGATTATTAATGTAAATTGTCATATAGAGATGATATCTGAATGTATAATATCAGAGTACTGAATCATGAGTACTGACTGTAAATTCAAGATTACTTAACAGAGCTGTTAAGTAATTATATCAGATTTTTACTGCAGAGTTCAGATTGTATAGACTATTCTCAACTGTGCAGACAAGTATTTTCAGTGAATCTGTCTCAAATTCAGTGAGTTGTCTTATATAGACCTTTTTAGTGAGATGCTTATGAAGATATATTATCACTATATTCACTTAACAGAGTGTTCAACTGCATAGTACTGCTATTATAAAAAGAATATAAGTAATAGTATCAGTGATGACAGAAGTGTAGATCTCTTCTCTAGAATTCTTCTTAAATCAGTTATTATAAATCACTCAACATAATTTTTTAAGAATATTATCAGAATCAGTATTCAGATCTGTGAGCCTATCTTTCTCAAGAAATACTCAATAATCTGAAGTAATCAGTTCATCTCTCAGAATATCAGATCTAGAAATCAAACTTCATATATTATATCTCTTCAGATTGATAATCTTGTATTACATGAACTTCTTTCAATAATCTTCTACTCTGTCTAGTCAAGATGTGACATTCTTGTAGAACTTTGAGAGGTTATCTGTAATAAGACTTGAAGTGTAAGTAGTCAGTGATTTCACAGGCTGCAATCATATGAAATTCAGATCATCAATATCAGAAGTGTTTTCATTATTAACTAGGTGAATATCAGGTTCTGATACACTGATATTATTAGTGAGTGTCACAGATGTGACAACTGATTTAATAACATAATTAATGAGTTTCACAGATGTAACAATCAGTTTTTCAGTGATCAGAAATCTCATATCACTACTGACAATAATCTTATCAGATTCAGAATGTCATAGATGATATATTAATGTATCACTGAATTCAATGATATAATAGAAATCAGCATGTGAAGAAAGCTTATTCATGAGCTGCTGAGATTTATGCAAGTGAACAAAAACCTCTGTACTTAATCAGTGAAAATGCCTCACATTCAGCAGAGTATTTGTAAGTGCATATCAAGAAATCTTATATGAACTTAGAATCACAGAAATCTCTGCAGTAGAGAATCAAAATTTTGAGTTGTAAAGAACTGTAGATATAAGAGTATTATTAATTATTGTAATCACTGTCTCTAGAACATCTGCTCAGAACTTCTTAGAGAGATTTTCTTTCAAAAGAGCAGCTCTAATCTGTTTCATAATAGTGCAGATTTCATATTCAGAAACATTATTCTAATATGATGAATGTGATACTGTTGATTCTCATTTGATACTATATGAATTCATAACTGTGTGCATACATGTGAATTGAAAAACATCATTAATATCAGTTTGTAGAAAAGCAGAGACTGTATATCTGAGATTATTCATAAATCTGAGCCACAACTCAAAGTATTGAACAGTCTCATTCTTGAACTTTAAAAAATATACTCAATGATAGCAAGTCACATTGTAGATGATAAGCATTCAGTATTTGATTCTCTGATGAGACTCTAAGAGATGATCAGAGAGGTCTTTCAATGTACATTCATCATCTACAAGGTTAATATGAACCTTCTCAATGAATTGAATAGATCTAGACATCAGTGTTTTCAAATAATCTCACATTATATCTGTCTTGACACATTTCTTATAAAAGAACTTAGTCTTAGAATCTTTAATAGTGACTTCAGTATCAGAATCCTTGACCATAGTAATTATAGCATCAGTGTGAATGTGACTGAGATCACAGTGCTAGTTCAAAAGAGTCTTTGATATTCTTGTGTTCTTGAGACCTGTATTCAGAACTGTAGAATCAATGTTATTAACAGTAGTAGCAGTGGCCACAGAAAGATCAACTTTTCGGTCAAAATCATACTTGTGAGATATCATCGCAATATACTTGACTATCTTGTTCAGATGATTGAGATTCTCATTGAACTTCTATTCATTGATCTTATATATATTGTTCTGAGCAGTCTGAACTGTATGAAAAATAACACTGTTCAGAGCTCTGCAAATGAAAAATGAGAGAATAGTGAAAGACAATGTAAATCAGAATCCCTGATCTTCAAGCTTTGTAAATAAGAGCAGATTAACTGTAATATTAGAAATATAGTGAACATTCTGCAAGTTAATATCATCATTCTCAATCTTCAAGATGACAGTTTCAATCTTCTTGACAAACTCAGTTCTCTCAGTGATAGAATCAATAGAGATGTTATAATTAAAAGATTTGATATTTGAAAAAGAATAAAGCTCATCTGTCATATTCAGACTTACACATGTGTTCAAATATCAAGATCTAGAGAATGGTTTTTCAGTGACTGTGAAAGAGAAATAGAACTCAATCTTTGTAATTGCTGCATTTACTACTGATTGAGAACTCATCAAATCATTCTTCTTTTCTTTCTTCTTATCATCCTTCTTTTTCTTTTTATCAGAGTGTAAGATGAAACATCTGTCAACAGTATGTTCATATCTTCTGCAGTGAGTGTACTTTCATACAGGTGTGCTTTTGTCCTTATCTTTGTCCTTATCTTTGTTCTTTTTCACAGTCACAGAATCGGCCTGAGGCTGCTTTTTCTACTTGATAATGATCTTCTTGAATGTACAATTGATCAGTTGCTTCATCAAATCATTGATATCAATGTTGACAATGAGTCTCTGATCAGTGAAGAAAAACTCATTCAAATATGTCTTGACAAATGATCTTTGATAATCTTGTAGATTGTTAAGAAAAAGATCATGATATACATTCTCAGTGCTCTGACAGAGCTTCTTGTAACAGATAATAAGATAGTGAAAATATCTCTGAAAAGTAAGATAATCATTCTTCTTGACTTATAATTTTATCAATTTCTTGAAGATATTAACTCATTCTTCAGTCAGTGATATTGTATATTCAACATTGATCTTGTCTCACAGAGCTGCAGTATTGTCAGCTTTCAAGGTTTCAATAGTGATTCAAACATTTTCAACAAGACTTGATAGCATACATCTATATAGAGACTTGAAATGAATCCTTCACTTCTTGAAGTTGATATAACATGTAAAAGAGAATTCTCATTGAGTTCTCAATAGAATGTCAGTTTCATTAATAACTTTCACATCAGTCAACATATCAACACATCATACTTTATAATTAGAGCTATTAAATATGATTACTGATTTAGTGTCTAGTGCATATTTGACTTTCTTCTGATATTTCTGTAACTCATTTCTCATAGTGTCTCTTTGTGCAGAGACAGATATAGTGAGATGTTAAGTGATTTCAGCTGCAGTCATCTGATTCTGTAGTATCATCTGTATAAGATTCATAAGATTGCCTGCGATGCAATAGATAGATTGATTCAAATCATTATTAAAAGTCAGCATTCTGAGAATGAGAAATAGTGAAGAATTTAATGAATTGAAATGAACAGATTCTGTAGATAGATGTTAACTCTGCTTTTCTTTATTCTGAAGTTTCTTCATTGTCTCATCATTAAATTTCATACTCTGGTGAAAACTGATCTCAGTCTCATCTTGCAAGTTAGAAGCCTTCTCATAATAAGTGATTATTCTATCAATGAGTCATCTAGTGAAGTGTGTGATTCTGAGTCTTGAGCTGAACTCTGAAGTAACAGATGTATCACTTATATTGAGATGACTCTGCTTCTTCTAGATGTATAAAAAAAAAAAAAAAAAAAAAAGTGATATTCTTCACAATGAAGAATGCACTTTCTCAAAAATATAAAGTATATAAATTCACTGACTGACAGATTCAGGGAAAATAAAATATCTCTAATAAAGAGTGAGAGTCTTTTCAAAAAAGATGAACTATTCATGTTAAAAAAATGTTGATATAATGTTCTAAAAAGAAAAATGTGTCATTCAGACTATAATCTGTAGAATAGTTGAAGATTGTGTATTAATAGATCTATCTACAAGAACATAATATAGTAGTGAGTCACGTGATCTAGTGGGATCGCTAACCGCAACAGCTGTAAGAGTCAACACTTACTACAATGCTCATCTAATACTCACTTATACTAGCTCTCTTAGCTCATATATATATTTTACTATAAATAGCTCCATCTTTTGTATGAAATAGATATATTAGATAGTGCACAGATAATATAACAAGCAGATCTTGATATAAATAAAATTTATATGTCTTTAACATATTCATCTGTGACACTCAATTCGACAGTTATAAGTCTATAAGCAGTATCTGAAGAGAAGCACGATACATCAATTTCAATTCTCATTCAAATTTGACAACAATCATTCAAACTGAGACAATTGATTCTCATTCATATACAGTCCGATCTACTCAACTGTTATACTCAATCTCAATCCTCATTCAAACTGATAACTATCATTCAAACTGAGACGATTGATTCTCATTCGTATACAGTTCAATCTACTCAATTATCATACTCAATTCTCAGTAAGCAGCATCTGAAGAGAAGCGCGATACACCGATTTCAATTCTCATTCAAATTTGACAACAATCATTCAAACTGAGACAATTATACACTGATTTCAATTCTCATTCAAACTGATAACTATTATTTGAACTGAGATGATAGATTCTCACTCATATATGTTCTGATATACTTGACTGTTATACACTCTGAATTCTGATCATATCTATTCTCAAATACTTGAATCAATTCCTCAATTCATTCAATATAACTGATATAACAGACAAGACAATGTCTAGTGCAACTGTACACCTTAGCGTTTCTGAAGATTGAAAACTTTGGTACAAGCATATGCTAGAATATACAAAGAACAAGAAGATATCAGACTTCATCAATCTTGATAAACCTGATATCTTCTCTGAACTAGAAGAACCTCTGAAACCCGAGTGTTCAGAAGAAGTCACTGCAGAGGTCAAGATAGCATATAATATCAAGGTCACTGCGTGGAAAATCAAATATATGAAATATGAGAAATTGAATGAAGGTATGTGTAACGTGGCGGAACTGAAGCAGTGACTAGTTGGCAGTGATATGTAGAGGTAGTTGTTTGAAAAGCTGTATAAGTGAGCTTAACTATCTTGCTTAAATAGTGAGCTTGTAGACTACAGAGTTATTGCAAGAATATCACAGATATGATACTTAGTATACTAAGAAGATTGTATAAGACACACAGTAACTCTTGTATATATTTCAGTAGAAGAAAAACAAATCACTGACTTCTTTAATAAGAAGTCAGCATCTAGCTATTCTATATAGATAATGAGTGAATATTCTTCTCTTATTTCATAAGTGAGAATAGTCAGAGCAATACCTCAGTAGTATCTCATTGCTAAGAAAGAGTAATCTGCTGACCTTATATAGAAGCAGAGTTCTTATATTCATCAATCAGATCTTTCTATGATATATTCAAATAATATTATAGAGTGATTGAAAACTAGTTCAGATAGAATGAAATTATTCACATGAAAGCAATGAGTTATGTGAAACTGTAACAGAGTCTTAACACAGCTGAGAGTATGATAATGTTCTCTTCTTTAAGAGCATAGTCTCTATACTCTCAAGATTATCAGATTAGAAATTATCTTTATTGTATAGTAATAGTTATCAACTGATTAACAGTACATATACTGTGTATAATATAAAGAAATAGATGAGTTTTTCTGCTGACTGTATAGATCTTCTTTTCTCATCTTCATTCAAATCAAATATGTGATAAGTGAGTTTCTTATATATCAATTTAAAATATGAAAAATGTAGTTAATAAGTGACTTACAGATCTTTCAATATATTCTGTTCTATATATGAAATTCTCTGTAAAAGTGATGTATTTTTAGAGACAAAGCTAACAGTAGTGACAGGATTTTTTGAAAAGATCTTTCTCTCTGTGAATCATTTTTCTTTTCTTCTCTTTAATTGCAACAGTGAGTGTATGAGAGTATTGTCTTTTCTCATCTTCATTCAAATCAAATATGTGATAAGTGAGTTTCTTATATATCAATTTAAAATATGAAAAATGTAGTTAATAAGTGACTTACAGATCTTTCAATATATTCTGTTCTATATATGAAATTCTCTGTAAAAGTGATGTATTTTTAGAGACAAAGCTAACAGTAGTGACAGGATTTTTTGAAAAGATCTTTCTCTCTGTGAATCATTTTTCTTTTCTTCTCTTTAATTGCAACAGTGAGTGTATGAGAGTATTATTCTTGAAGAATAATTAAGAGCTTATTCTGACATTTTCTAATGAGTAAATGTCTTTATGATGCAGCTGCAGTCTTCATTATTATCAAGAATGCCAGGTTGATGACAGAGATGATATTAATGAGCTGTGAGAGCACTGCTCTCATTGTCACATCTTCTCTCTCTTCTACATCTCTTGTGACTGCAGTGATAGTTGCTATGCCTTGCAGTGAGATGTCATTTCTTCTACTGACTGATGTGTCTGTGTTCAGTTCATTCTCTGCCTTTCTCACCATCATTGTGATGATGCCTCTTTCTTCAGCTAATACAGTGACATATAACCCTGTGTGATCATTCAGAGAGAAACCTGAAAAGAGCTTGATTTCAGAAACAGTAACTCTGAGAAGCTCAATTCATAGTTCTTCTCTCACATGTCTGAGCTCTGCTTAAGATGCTGCTAAGTTGAGTCTGCAGAATTCTGCAGTTTCTTCATCTTCTCTCTGTAAGAAGGCTTTAGTGCAGTCTCTAGTCAGCACTGCTACTTATCTATACTATACTAAGCAGCTGAAGAAAAGAGAGATTTTATACACTTATTTCTTCTTTCACTTCTGTTATTTTCATTGCATCTGTAATAATAACTTCTATCTCTCTGTAAGTATTATCTACTCTACAAGAAGACATCATATTAGCTCTGACAAGAAGCTCAGATGCTTAAGTAATATAGAGTGAGAGTCTCAGAACTTCAAGTATTAATAGATTTTATCAAGACTGAGAAGGTCTCTCTTACTCATCTGTAAAAGAAGATAAAAGTATGAATCTTCAAGATAAAAAAATATCTCAGAATGACTGACTTTAAGAAGAGATCAGTCAATATCATCATTGAAAGTATCACAGAGATTAATCACTGATTAAAGAGAATCTCACTTCAGTTGAAGCAGATGACTGAGATACTTTATAAGTTAATAAGTTGACATTTTCAGTATCTCTTATACTCTTCTGTAATATGCTTCTCTGCAGTGCTGCAGTACTAACTTCTCAGCAGATAAAGATGCTGATGTCAGAGACTTCAACAGTGAAGAATGAGTTTGATAAGAATGTAATTATTAATAAGTAGACTCTGAAGTTCTCTCTTTTTACTTTTTCAGTAAGCTGCAGTCTCATTAGAATAGCAGCAGCTTGCAGATTAATAATATTAATCTTTTTTATTAATTTTAAATATCTCTTTTCTCTAACTGCTTCAGAAATTTTACACTTGTGTAGTCTCATTAAACTTCTAAAAAATCCTTTAAGAGAAGATAGAAGAAAAGTGCTACAGAGTCTATAAGATATCAGCTCATTACTATGAGATTATCTCTAAAAAACTCTTTGAGAAAAATAAGAAGTCTTAAGTAGTATTTCTTACTTAATATCTCTGATGTGTAATAGAGTAGTCTCTATTAGTCATTTCATAGCTTACAATCTCTTTCTCAGCATTTTTCAAATGCTTAAGTAATTCTTATGAATTCTCTGATAATGAATAATCTTCTTATTTAATAAGATATTAAAGCTTGCTGTAATATATTCACTTATTTAATATTTTCTTCATAAGATATTCAGTATTACTCTCAATCTTAATATCATTCAGTCAAGACAGCTTCACTCTGAGCTGTTACTTATAGAGCTTGAAATAGAAAATGTGAAAAACAGAATGAATTGATTTCAATTCTGTGAGTAATTTCAACTTATATGTCTGCTTACTTATTACTCTTGTTACTGAGAAAGGTTCTAGTCACTGCTCACTGAGCTTCTTATATAATCTCATTGTCTTGATATTCTTTGCTGAAAGTAGCACTTAATTCTCTATCAAGAACTTCATTAGAAGATGTTTTTAATTATAGTATTTTATCTACTACTTCTGAGCACAGTGAATGCTTTTCATCATCTTCTTATGAATTTTGTTTAAAAGTTTCAATCTCACTTTTACTTCTGACACTGAGAAATACTCTGTTCTCTATATCTGTTCAACATTCTGACTATCTATTTCTCTCTTCAGAACATTATCTGTGACATCACTGAGTAATGAAGAATTATATTCATAATAAGTATAGAAAGAAAATATCTTTAAGATTATATTCTTTACATTACTATATACAAATTTAGTAGTTAGAAGATGTTTGAGTCAATCATTCTGATAATATAAATAGAACACTTAAAGATACTATTCTAGTATCTGATTCTGATGTTCAGTCTGATTATCAGTCTGTGAATGCAATGCAGTACAGAGAAGACATCTTATTATAAGATGATAGTAAAAAGTCAATCAGTATTTGCTGATGAAGAGAGATTCTCAATCTGTTATTAACAATTTCAGAGCATCATAATTATAAATAATAATATCTAAAAACAGATCAGCTAATTCAGAGACTTTAATCTTTTTATAAGTAGAAATATATCTGATCATCTTCATGAAGCAGTTAATAATGATCAAAATTAAGTTATATTCTTTGACTCTTATTAACTTCAGCAGATCAACTATAAAATTCATCAATAGATTCTATCATGAGCTCTTTGAAACAGGCAGTGATATTAACTCACTATATTACTTATACTGTGAGATCTTTATTCTTTAACAGATATTGTAAGTCTTAACATACTCTTTAACATCTGTTCAGAGCTTGTCTCAAGTATATTTACATTTTAGAAGCTTCTCAGTCTTCTCTAATCTGAAGTGCTCTATATGAGAATTATTATAATGAATTCTCAATAACTTCTGACACATCACTCTACTACAAGGAACAAAGACTGAATTATTCAGCAGTAGAAGTTCACATTCTTCTAGTTATCAGTGACTTGATTTCTTAGCAGTATTATCTCACTCAGAGTCTGTCTCTTTTAAGTTCAAATCAGATTCTTTCTTCTTTAACTTCTGAATTCAAGCTACAGTAGAGATATCTCTCTTCTATAATTTATCAATGAATTTCAAAAGTAGTTAAGTTGAAAGATTGTAGATCATTTCATTCTTTGTCAATTCAATAATTGTAAGATATGATATAAGAAGCTCATGATCTTCAGTGTCAGTTCTCTGTGAGAATTCAGGTTTTCTTTCATCTTCTATACTGAGTCATGTAGCTGCCTCTTTGATGTTATTTCTGAGATTCAGAGAATCTTAATCCTCTGCAGCCAGCTTCTTCTGCAGTGATGATAGAGATTCTTTTATAGAATTCTTCTTCATATTAACAATATTATAATTGAGCTGTTTAGACAGTGTATCAGCAAGATTAAGTCAATCTGAATGATATCAGATATAGAAATCATACTCTGAAAGCAGCTCTGCTCATCTGGCTTGACATTCTGTCAAGCTCTTTATTATTAAGAAGTAATGCAGATTTGCATAATCAGTGAGAACTTACACTGAGTACTTACTACTCTGAAGATAATGTTATCAGATCTTAAAGAATTTAATAATTGCTAATATCTTCTAATCATGAGTATTATATCTTCTCTGCATGAGTGATAACTTCTTAAAGAAGAAGATCACTAATCTTTATTCACAGCATCTTATAGACTCTGTGAAAAAGTCTTCTCTCACAGACAATTCATTGCCTGTTTTCTCAGAGATAATTATTCTCTGATTCTTTCAATGTTGAAAGATCTTCAGTGTCAACTGTGAAAAGATTTCATAGATCTCATTCTCAGATGCATCAGTCTCACACTGACTGAGTAAGTCAGAGTTAAAGTGATTCAGTATTGTAATATCTGTAAAAGCTTGTTTCAATTTCACAAATATCTGCACAGTATCTTGAGTGAGGATAAATAGTCTTATTTTTCTGTCTTTCACACTTCTCTTTAACAGATCT